TGGCTCTCCCATGGCCTGGGGGAAGGCAGCTGGGCAGCTGCTCTGCTTCCAACACTCACATCTGCAGCATACCTGGGACAGAGGGAAGCCCACGTGCTGCCCTGAGGATGATTAACTGAGATCAGGAGCCATCTGCTCCAGGCCAGAGTATGTAGAAAACAGCTCATTTTCATTTATTTCAGCTTATTATGTGAAAAAACAACCCACCCTGCTAAGCTGAGCCCCTGCCTGGACCTACCACTGATTACATCCAAGAGGTAAAAACAGTTTCCAGTTTGGGCTCCAGGAGCTGACACTGCCAAAGGGAAGGAAGAAGCATCACATGGGCCAGCATGGAAAAGGAGATTCCTTTAAGGGCTAGATGGGGTTTATCTGTGGAAATGTCACATTCATTAGGGGTTTGTAGCAGCAGCTTTGTGTAGCTTTGCATAGTAACTCGCTGCTGTCTCCCCGTGCAGACACACAGGTTGCTCTGGCTCCTGTAGCCATGGTTTCACTTAAAAATATCTCACATGGGGCTCTACTTCAGGCTTTGTGCTTACACCAAGCAGCACTTACCTCGTCTGAGATCTGACCCCCGAAAGTGACCCAAGTTCCTAGAGAGAACAAAATAATTTGTTACTACAAGAGGTTTCTGACATCAAAAAAATCACTTGACTAAAATTCAGGGTCCTTGGGATTAAGTGGGGTTAAAAGGGTGTGAACTGGCTCAGAGGCTCCTGCATCCACTAGAGAGTTCCTGCAGCCAGGCAGGATGGAGCTGGTGCTGAGCCCCTTCTCCCAGGGAGGGACCAGCACCAGTGGGATGCTGTGCTGCCAGAACACAGAGTTTGATTCAAATAGAACAATCAGAGAATCGTTTGTTTTGGAAGGACCTTAAGGCTTATCCTGTTCCACCCCTTGCCATGGGCAGGGACACCTTCCACCAGCCCAGATTGCTCCAAACTCCATCCAACCTGGCCTGGAACACTTCTAGGCCTTGAAATGTTATTTGGGGAATGAAAATCTTAGATATGTGCTTCAGCAGTTAGCACCATATATGCCAAAATCAGGGAAAATAAATAAATAAACAGATATAAAAAAGGGAACTATTTCTTTTGACAAGAAGTATTTAAACCCAAAGTGACTTTTCCGCAGGAAGTTTTCTGTGGAGCCAATGGCCAATGCCAACACAGCTGATGGGCAGTGCTTTCTTT